TTTTAGTTTTTTAGGTAAGAATTTAAGTTATTGACACATGTTGGTGAATCTGTTTGGGTTTTCCTTGCAGTTTTTTTTTTCTCCAGATGTACGTTGTTTATGTTTTTGCTTCTCTTTTCTTTCTTCTTTTTCTTGTGATATGTTGTCAGTGGCAGTGGCAGTGGCGTAACCAGAAATTTATCTAAGGTAGATCAAACATGGAAAAATATATGTAAATATAATCTATGTTCTAGGAAGTGTTTATGTCTGATTTGTTTTTTTTTTTAATGCATTCATCATGCAAATTATGAGGGATGTTAAGATACCACAATGAAAAATCATTCATGATTCCACAACTCATCTTATTCCGAAGTATTTCTTCACTTTGTTCATCACAATAAGTGATCTTTCAACACTTGCATTGACAGCTTATAGCAACAACCATCCCCTAAGTTTCGAGTTTTTTTTTATATTAAACTCACTTACACAATTTATGAATTAAAAAGTGAATATGTATCACAAAACATTACTTTTTCATAAAATTATCTAAAATAATATGGAGATTTTGTATTCAACTCACCAATGTAGTCAAAATCGCGTTTTAAAACTTAAAAACTAATGCTTTTATGCTTCTAGATCGGTGTTTAGAAACTAACCGGTCAACTACATCGTGAAGAGGTCAACCAGTTAAGGCAAAAGATATATTCAAACCTCAAGTCAACGTTGTGGATAGTGCTCTAAAAACAATGAACCCCGTGATTTCACCTGAAAGATAAACCAGACATCGGTATGATCGACCTGTTGATCTACACATATTGCATAAACAACTACACTTTTCATGTTTTGAAGTCTTCTCTTCTTCATCACTAATCTCAAAATCCACCATAATTTGTTTACACAGGTTTTAGATTGATAGACTAATAACTTAAATTGTCATTTATAGAGGTTTATATTATTGTTAACTCAGATTAAGTGGTAGCAAAGTTCTTATTTATTACTAGAATCTTTCTAGTGATGGAATTTTGTGGAAGTATAGGAATAGTAAATAAAACTCGAGTATATCGGAATAGTAAGTACTATTCTCGAGACGAGGAGTAACCCATTTTGTTACGTGATTGGTTTTATGAGGATACAAAACAAGATAACAAAAGATTAAATGTAATGACAAAATGATAACATTATACAAATGACTCTTTTCCCGGGCCGGCCGGTTCTCCACCCTCGGGGATCGCCGGTCATTGGTCCTCTTAATTGGCCGGCCGGGAACCATTTGGCATCGGCGACAAAAGGGTCCAAAGTCACACAGAGTTACGTTTCCCTCGAAAACGTTGTCCCGAAAATGACGACATCTCCCGTCACAGAATAAGAACCAAAAGGCGGCCTTTGGAATGCTTCAATTAATCTTTTCTACACTTCACTATAAAAGTGGAATGGCAATGATCATTAAAATAAAATATAAAAAAACTTACCATAATGATCATGGTAGTATTTGCGACCATAATGGTCATTATGGCACGTCCTTCGGTCCAGGATACAGTTTCCGTCACCAATCTCTTAACCAACAAAATACTGATCGTGCATTGTCGATCCAAAGACGACGACCTTGGAGGCCAAGCGGTAGCCGTTGGGGATAGCTACAGTTGGAGTTTCGAGACGAACGTTTTTGGTGGGACACTTTTCTGGTGCAACCTCGCGGTACAAGATAAGCGTATTTCTTTCAAGGCGTACGAGGAATACGAAGAAACCTTCGGAATGTGGTTTGTTCATGATGATGGGCTTTATGGGAAGCCCAAACACTTTCCTATCTTTAAGATGGCTGCATGGAAGCGGCCATAGGAAACGTGGATTTGTCAAGCATTGACCTCCTTTTGAATGTTGTTTGGGGATGATTAATTTAATGGAAGGAGGATTTGAAATTGTTCCTACGATATTTTTGTAAAGTGCAATTGATTGTTGAGATACTGGGAAGATGGAGTTAACAATGCCAAAAATCCAATGGAAGTCGTGGGAAAGGTGGTGGAAGCGAAGATCATTCTTGCGAACGTACTCCCCAGGCGGGAGCAAAGAAAGCGGCTTCAAAAGAAAAGCCCCAGTTAGAGTCCAAAAGGATACGAGTAACCAAAAGTACGGTGATACTGATAATCACTCTTAGGATTTCATTGACATTGTTTCGAAATTGGTTGTGAAGGAGAAGGGCGAATTGGACGGAGTAGATCTGATATGGATCTTTGCTGGTATCGGTCGTGGAAAATGGTGGAAGGGTATAACTTAGGATTCCGACCCAACCTATGAATTATCAAACCAGGTAAAACTCGTTGCCGAAACGAAAACTCATCAACACTGAATTCAACCTGCTTTGACAGGGTCGATTGTCTTGATTTTTAGGTGCGAGTCGGATGGATAGCGGGCCACATTTTTAAAAAAATCCATACCGAAGGCAACCCGTCGATTACATAAGCGGATAAAACTCTCTCCCAATCCAAAACTCATCAACATCGAGTTCAACTCATTTTAACCTGTTCAAATTATTTTGAATACCAATGAGTTTGAGCTCCATTGTCGTAAAATAAACACAATAAAAGTTTCAATTTCACTGAAATGTTGAATAAATGGGCCGAGTTTTATGCAGAATTCGCACCCCACTCAACCCAACCCATTAATCAAAAAAGTGTCGGCTATGAAACTATTGTCCGATGACCGTCGCAAATAACATTAATGGCATTATTTTGAGTCGAATACCGTCGCCCAAATATCCGTCACAAAAACCAACTTGTACACTTTAGCATATCCATGTGTCGAGATGCTATTGGCTGCAGTTTAACGGGTTGGTGGTTTCAAGCGGCCGGAGCCACGACGAAGCAATGCCTTTTTTCGGCCCGACAGAGGCTCCGGCCGTCGGAAAATTTCAGCACATGCCAGACAAAGATATTTTCATAGCGACCAAATAAATTTTCATTGAGCACAACAGAGTACAAAATTCATCAACCTTTCCGGACAACTTAAAATTACTTAGATGAAATTTTTTACCACGCCTCTTCATAAAAAAAAGTAAACTTCTACATTACAACATACATTAGCAAAATCGGTCCTTCCACATTTTTATGATAATTCGAACACATCATCACTGGACCACCACAATATCTTCGTATTCCTTCGAACTACAAGCTGGTTTCTGAATTCTCGACATTAATTACCACCTATCAAAACATAGATTAATCATCATATAAATCTCCACTATTTAATATCATGAGTAGTCGTGTTAAAATGGTACCATAGTAATTATCAAATCAAACAAATTTCAATTCTATTAATAATCGGAATACAATATTATAACAAAATCGACCACGTACAACACTAATACAACAACCAAATGAACCAAAGTATTATTTAGGCATTTTGGTTAATTGGTTTACCAATATGACATAACATTATTATTATATGTGTGATAAATCTCATGTCAATGCATCAATCCGTAATTTACATGATACTAATACACTTATTTTATTGTCACCTAACAAAAATACATGCCAATGATATGAGATTAATGAATTTAGTGTGCCTATGTGAATTGTCTTAATCTCTTAGTCTCTACAAAAACGAATATAGTAGATGAACAATAATTAACTTTATTTTCTTGTGAGTCCGAAGGGAGGAATCGCTTGATTCATGAGTGCTGATATAAAGTATTAAGTATGTTTATAGAATATATAAGATGTATGATTAATTGCTTAACTGGTTAATTGGCGTGGCCAAACTCGTCTCCATGCAGCCTTGAAAAACACATCGTTGATTAACTTGTCCTTCCCATAAACCCCGTCGTCGCGAACATACCAGTATACGGCGCTGTGGCCATAGTGGTCGAACGCCGTGAAAACAAGACGCTTATCTTGGACGGCGAGTTTGCACCAGAAGAGCGTCCCGCCGAACGCATTCAGCTCGAAACTCCACCGGAAACTCTCGCCGACGGGCACCGCGTGGGCCTTGAGATAGTCGTCTTTGGATTGACAATGCACTATCAGTATCCTGTCTCGTAACTTATTCGTAACATGAACCGTGTGCTGGACTGAAGGACGTGCCATGATCATCACCATGGTGATCACCACCAGAACCTCCGTCGCTAGCAAGGTTTTGTGGGCAATAACCATGGTGATGTAGACCACACTTTTTTTTATACGGGTGATATAGGTTTATTTTTTGTGATCAGATACTACACGAGGAAGGATTTGAACCTAATTAAGACCTCTAGGTTTAAGGCTGGTGGTATTATCACTAGACCAACCCTTGCTCGCGTGAAGTAGCTAGCAATTTGGCGTATAGGAATGTTATTGTGTGTTGGCCGGTGATCGCCATTATTCCTTTTATATAGTGTTCTGGTCAAGGGGAGTAAGTAAGGAGGTTGAAGTGTTCGAAAATAATGGAGATCCCTCTGCTGCTTTTGCTTCTGATTAGGTGACGGGAGTTGTTGTCGTTTTGGACGTATGATGATGCCGTTTTCCGAGGGAAACGTAGCGCATGGGCCTTCCTTCGTTGGTCGCTTTGTTTTTAGGGGGGAAGAGTTAACGGTGCCGGAAACTCTTTCTGGCTTTTACGGTTTACCCATTTTGCTGCCGATCGATGATTGCCAAATCATTCCGGCCGGCCAATTAAGAGGACCCAAAGCAGGACGGCCGGTGTGGCATACGTCCAAAAGGACCAAAACGACACAACTCCCATCAACTAATCAGAAGCAAAAGCGGCAGAGGGATCTTCGTTTTCGAACACTTCAACCTCCTTAATTACTTACTCCTCATGATCGAAACACTATAAAAAGGAATGGCGATCACCAGGACAATAACATTCCTACCCCAAAGTGTTAGTCGAATAAGGGTTTGATGTTAGTGGTAACATACCATTAACCTGAAAATCCCAAATTCCTTATAAAAAATAATAAACCTATATCACGCTTATAAAAAAAAAGTGCTAGCTGCATCACCATGGGTATTGCCCACAACACCTTGCTAGCGGCGGCGGTTCTGACGACCATGGTGATCATCATGGCACGTCCTTCGATCCAACACAAGATTCATCTTACCAATATGTTACGCGACAAGATACTGATCGTGCATTGTCAATCCAAAGACAACGATTTCGAGGCGCGCACTTTGCCCGTCGGCGAGAGTGTCCAGTGGAGTTTCGAGCCGAATTTGTTCGGCGGGACGCTCTTCTGGTGCAAACTCGCCGTCGAAGATAAGCGTCTTACTTTCACGGCGTACGAACAAAGTGGGCTCAAACAAAGTGGGTCATACACGGGACACTGGTATGTTGGTGGCGACGGGGTTTATGGGAAGGGCAAGTACACCAATGATGTAATTTTCAAGGCTTCGTGGAGGCGAGTCTGGCCACGCCGTTGAACCATACAAGGCGTATGGATCTGTACGCAGGGCGTAAGTAACCTGTATATCTCGTAATAATTCGAGTTATTTGAGATTAACTGGTTTATGAGATAGTATCAAAGTTGGTTTGATTGTGATGATGTCATGTGTTCATCAAGTCCTCGTGAGCCGTTGTTCTTAAAGCATACGTAGTATGGCGGGCCTGTGATTCAAGTATAAACGTTTAGGTATTTTCGTTCAATGTAGCATTTAAATATGAGTATTTGTAATTTTACTATGGATGTCACATTTTATTTAAATATCTATTTTCAACTCATTTAAAAAATAAGCGTACTCGTTCCGTAGCGGATCTCTTACGAGATCAATTCGGATTGGCTCTGGTTCGTTTAGAAAATGTGGTTAGATCGAGGAACTATATGTGGAGCAATTCGACATAAATTGATATCGACCCCTCAAAATTCAGTAACTTCAACTTCATTAACAACCACATTTGAATCCTTTTTTCGGATTGAACCCATTATCTCAAGTTTTGGATCGAACTAATTCATTGACCCAAATAATTCACGGGAGAAAATCGAGTTATTTGGGTTCGAGGGATTGACTGGGCGACCTGTCAGTTTTCGGATACGAGATATCCATCCTAATCATTATGGACGCATTTGCCCAATTAACACATCTGAAAGAATCAATGTTGAACTTATTGTTAACGAATTTTCACATATTTTATCAAAGTGGCATGAACTGGATATGAAAATGCAGTCCGGAAAGAATCATCATATAGCTCCCCCGTTTTCTCTCCTACCTCCCGTTGATCTGTCCTGAGTTGGACAGGCCCGCGCCGGGCCGGCTTTTGGTCCTCTTACTTGGCCGGAAACGATATGGCGCTGCCGGCAAAAGGGTAAAAGTCTCTTGCACCGGCAACTCTAGTCATCGTCTCATCCCAAAAAACAAAAGCGTCCGACAAAAGGAAGGATCACTATAAGAACCAAAGCAGCAGAAGATCGAGGGTGGCAGTAGAACCCGAATTCACGAGTATCCATCGGACCCAACCCACGGGTAAAACATGTTTTGACGGATTGCGGGCCAGGTTTGGGTTTAAATCCGTTATACTTTTTATGGGTTGGGTTTGGGTGGGTCATATCCAAACCAGGGATACTAGCACCCAATTAAGTCCATACCCCACGATCCACGGAACCCTTAACAAATTAACTATAATATCTAAACTAATGCCTCACACGTTCAATTAGTCATATTGTTTTAGTGGATGTTTATCTTTAATATTCAACAATTAGTATGAATGCGATTTGTGAGTTAGTCTGTATGTAGTAGACTGTAGACACAATACTAGTGAAAACTAGTGTAATTGCATTTTTGTACATGAACCTATGGGTACTCATGAACCTGCGAATATCAAAGCGGATTGAGTTGACTTTGAGTTTTTCAAATCCAGTTAATTTTACCCCGAATTTTTTCGATGGATAAACCCATGGGTTTGACATAACCCGACCCAACCCGACCATTGCCATCCCCTACAGCACTACATCTACACGTCTACACCATCTTTCAAGGCTCAAGATAGGGTGCATAACCATGGGTTATGCACCCATCAATAACAAAATCTGGACCCTTCATTTAGAAAATCCAGATCTAAGGATGGAGAATTAAAGGCTATTTTTATTTTCACTAGCTTTCTTAATTGACTTATATCTTTTTCGTTTTAACTCGGATTTTAATTTTTTTTGCACAGATGGAACGAGTTCACCGTGCTCTACAAAATGAGATCAATTTTCAATATTTTTTTAGGAAAAAAAAATTCTGGCTTCTCGGTACCAACTGCATACCATATGGTATCTTCTTCGTTTTTAATTCGTTTTTGAAAAAGTTTGCACAACAGGGATGAGTTCATCATGATCTACTGGATCTACAAATTTCTGGGTGAACAAATTACAGGACAAAAAAATACCACACAATACCATACAATACCACCCTGGTACAGGGTGGTATTGTATGGTATCTTCTTCGTTTTTAATTCGTTTTTGAAAACGTTTGTACAGAAGGGACGAGTTCGTCATGATCTATTGGATCTACAAATTTCTGGATGAACAAATTACAGGACCAAAAAATACCACACAATACCATACAATACCACCCTGGTACGGGGTGGTATTGTGTGGTATACAATGTTAAAAGTCGTAAATTACAATTAATATACTTCTACTATCATGTATTCAACCATCCTACAGTATTGGTTTGTTCATACCACCATGGTACGTTTTTCAAAACATAGGTATGCTTTTATTTCAATACCAGTCAATACCATATGGTATAGGCTGGTAAAAAATGACTCAATTTTTTTTGTTCGAAAAATATATTAAAGTGGATATCATTTTGAAGAGCACAATTAATCTGATCTAACTGTGCAAAAAAAATTAAATTTCGACTTAAAATGAGCGAGAAATCGTCCATCAAAGATTAAAGAGGGAAAAATTAAAGGCTTTTTATGTGAGAGAGGATGCTGATGTCATGCTGATGTGGACGGGTTACTCATGATTACTCACCATAAGGTTACTGACCTGATCCATTCCCATCTTTCAATATAAAAAAAAGGAAAGGCGAGAGGCCGATAGATATCATTATAACAAGGAAGACAATCGGATTGCTACTCTATCGCCATGTCTGTCCACAAAACGGCGGTGGCGGTTTTGGTGACCATAGTGATGGTAGTCATGGCACGTCCTGCGATCCAGGACAATTTTTCTGTGACGAATATGTTGCGCGACAAATTACTGATGGTGCATTGTCGATCCAAAGACGACGATCTCGACGCCCACGCGGTGGCCGTCGGCGACAGCATCGCGTGGAGTTTCGGGCCGAGTTTTTCCGGGGAGACGCTTTTCTGGTGCAGACTTGCCGTCGAAGATAAGCGTCTTACTTTCACGGCATACAATGAAAGCGAGGGAAACATACGGTTGTGGTATGTTCGTGACGATGGGGTTTATGGGTGGAACAAGCAAAACCCTAAGGTTGCATGGAAAAGTGTTTGGCCGCGCCACTGAAACCAAAGTAAGAGGGTGTGCAACAGTTCGGTCCCCATTGATCAGAATCAGTCCCGAGAACTTGAATAGCCTCGACTCGACGTTAAGAAGATTTGCTTGAGGATCAGAAACGCAACATAATTAAGTACACATTTAGTTCGATTTGGTCATGTCTAATTCATGGTTTGATTTCTTTTTAATATTCAGAAAATACGAAGAATCATATTAATTTTTTCAATTTGTGTTGGTCCAAATGTCAGTTCGATCTGGGTTTTTGTCGAAACTGATATTCCGGCGTGGGGGTAGAAGTAGAGAAGCAGAGGCAGAGGGCTTGATATTCCGGCGTGGTCTGGTGGTGTTAATGGTATGTTCGAATGAATTTCTTATCTCTTCAAGTTAGTGAAACTGAAATACTATAACCTTATTCTTTATCCGATTGGAATAGGGTTAGGCCGTAGTTCGCATGGAGATCGAAGTACTATGTTTCTGTAATATTCTATAATATCCTCAGGCATAGTGAAATCAACTCTCTCCTATATGTGGACTAACTAACACATTATATTAGTGACCAGTTAAATCTATGTGTTTTTTACTTTCTTACATCGTCGATCATCCAGATCCATGCTCACCCCTGGATTGAATAGTAAGACTTGCATTTATGAGTACTTGGACTAGTTGGGGCAAAGAGCACATAATTGGAACATTCCAACTTCCAAGCCCCAAAAGGAGAAACATGGAAACAGACCCCATTGTAAATTGTTGGTTGGTGAGTGAATAAGCCGGCCGGCAATTGGCCGGCTAGCTGGCCAGAAGTCAGCTGGGTTTTATAAGCAAACAATATCTCTTCTTTTGCAATTTCCCCTTCTCTAGTAAATTAGATATGGTTGTTGATTCTGAGATCTGTAATATACCATATCCTGCCCTAAACCACTAGCAAGAAGATTAACAAATCTCCACTATAAGAAAAAACAAAAGGGAATGTTGTTGACTATTAACAGTACATAGAGGGTATAAGATTTCTGATTAACATATCTTTCAATTACACAATTCAAATTACTGAAACTAAATAATTTATGACATGACATCAGAGTTGGTTTGACGAAGTTGTCGTATGTTCGAATCGCGACAATTAGCAATTGATTTAGTCACAAATGATGATAGACCTAGCGATTGTATGATAGAAACCAATGCTGAAGCCAAGTTGCAGCCAGAGGGGTTATAGCCCGGCCCCTCCATTTTCAAAAGTATGTTAATATACATGTAAAATTTTTAACGAATTTGGAAAATATACTAATTGGTAAGCCCCCACCCACCCAAATGACCACGTGTAAGAAAGTGGTATAAGATTTATAAGAAAATCTTCTTTCAACCGCCCGAATTAGTGGAACCAAAACGATTAATGTCAATAACTAGAATTTTTTCCTTTTAATTTCATGGTACAAGGGGTTATTTGAAGAAAGTGTATAATTCATGGGGCAAAAGAGTTATTTGTCTTTTCTCTTTATACAATATTTATTCATACAAATGAGTTCATTAATTATTCTTTGTACATGAGATGGAAGTACAGGCTTGCTAAATAAACAAGTATTAAATTTGATTAGCCACAATATATAGAAAGGGGATTTGTAGGAAAGCTCCCACATTCTATCCATCTTTTTTTATTTCATTGTTGTGTTGGTTGTCACTGAGCTAATTATTTCTAATTAATTAATAAATTATATTTTCAACATTTTCCCCCATTTCAGGAGAATGAATTAAGTGCACAATATTGGTGAAGATATGATACATTGAACTTTGTTTTTTTATCAACTATAAGATGGATTGAATCCAGATTTTGATCATCTTAAAATGTTCACAATTATATGAACCGTCAATATCAACATTTGATTCATTAAGCACAAAATATGATGAATTTAACTTTATAAGTTAACTTTCATTGAGAAGACTTGTAAATAAATTATATAAGATCCATATCTATACCTTTCCCTACCACGTCGAGTTATCAAAATCTGTAATCGGGAGGTTTCGGGTGGGTAGAAGTCACCTCTTGTGGTTTCGAATTAAATATTGTTGCAATAACTAAAACATAACATATATGTGTAAAATCAACTATGTTGGATCACATTAATAATATTGTTATTTAACTATTGGTCATGGAATTTTTGTAATAATAAAGAAACCAAAGAACATGTCCACATGCATATATATTCTATCAATATCCACATGCATATTAAAGTTGAAGAGAAGATTATATGATCAAAATTTTGATATGAATGAATTCAATTAAATCGAAGCAAATAAGCTTTGACTCCTAGCTAGAAGCTCACACATAAATTTTTAATCTGTTCTTAATTGCTTGTTTATATAATGTACATATATAAAAATGAAGGGGAATCATTCCCCATAGTAGACTCATCAAGTTGAGATCAATTAAGATGTGAGAGAGAGGGGGGAGGGGAGGGAGATATTTTAGATTTTTATAGGATATATAAAATTATATGTCATAATCATTATTGTTGTGTTTAGTAACATAACATGTCATACTGAATAACACATATGTGACCTAAGCGAAAAGTTTCAAAGCATATAATTTTGTATATATATATCGTGTTGGTCTAGCTGGCCGGTCAAGATAAGCTAAATGATCTGTATAATGATTATAAGACATGTAAAACTGCCACTAATTGGGTGAGGGTATGTCGTTCAAAAATTGAGATTGATTTTTCCTTCATAAACTTATATAAGGTATGTATATAGATCGAGTATATACTTTGAGAGAACTTGTGAAATGCAAGTTAGTAATCATGCTACATGTAGTTGGTTTTTTTCGTGTTCAACTAACATGTGCTAGAGATTGAGAGATTGCTACCTAGTCGTGCAACGTTCAAGACCCGTACCAGAGGTTGAAGATCGATTGTTACTCTTTCGAAGTACGAAAACCCCTTAACACCAAAATATCTTAAAAACCTTCGAAAACTTTGAGTTCAACAATCAATATTGCTAGTTAATGAAGGATCCACCACCTAGAGGGAAGAAAGTCGTTATTATTGGCTCCTAAAACATGTGGTGGGGGGAAATGGTTACGCTAATTCAGTAGTATTAGCAGCTAATCAATCTGGGTTAACTAATTATTAAAAAGAGTAAACTCGAGCTGTCGGGCTGACACATGGCGCCCGTAAGATTAAATCCTGGGCGGGCGTAGCTTTAGTGGGGTGTGGAGATTATCCATGCAAATCCATTCATCATTTTACAACTGATTCAGTTTAATTAATTAATTAAGTCATTAATATCAGGGTTTAGTTGCAACAGAACTGGATTACACGCGTGAAAACCGCCATTTTCCACAGGGTTAATTCCGACATTTACCACCAATCGCCCCGTAAAAATAAAAAACAAAAGAAAAAGAGGAAAGTCGGAACTTTGCCGGCCGGCCTCGCCGATTGGTGATCCGCCGCCTGTCCTCCGCTCCTCCCTTTTTTTAGAATTTTCTTAGGATCAATGCATTCTGATTTTATGAATACAGAAAAAGAATAATGATATCCGATGCATATGTTAAAGGAATTACTTACGGTTATCTCTATTCCTATGGAAATTTTTTGAGAGCTCCACAACTACAAATTACGACTACAAAGAAGTCTTGTGGAAGGCTTCTGGAGCTACTGTTGCGACTATGGTTCTAGATATAAGAAAAGGTAAATTTAACGAGACTTGCTATTATTTTTATTTTTTGTCCTAAGCTTGGTGCAAGTTTTGTTGTGCATCACTTTTTAACCATCCTCTTTCTCTGAAAATTTGCGCCACGTCGCAATTACATACGAACTCCACTTCGAGCATCCCTTGTAATTCGGTTGTTGCTTGCTGTGACAATCCTTGACACGTTATCATGTCACTGACAATCAACCCTGCGTACTACGAATGGATGGATGGATGGTAACATGGACGACCATAATTGTTACAGGAACCATCTTGGATGACAACCTCGTACTCAACTACTATTTACCAAACATATAGCGCGGCCAGAAAATTTTGGACCATCCAATGTACTTATGGGCCAACTACTTAAAGTGGCCCAATTGTCCATAGATACTTAAACCGGCTATCGATAGTAATGACTAACCTTTTGTCATGGGTGATTGCATGAAGCCGTAAATAGCTAATTAGTAGTTAGTTACAAATTAAGCTCCATTACCATGGCACAAGGATCAAATTAACTTCTTACGATTAAAGAACGAGACAATCAGCCACCACACTACAAGCCTGTAAATTCCTTGTGTTAGTAGTTTGGTTGACCTTTCGAAGCTTACCTACGTGCTGTTGGATCTTCATATATATGGTATCCGCTTGCCAGTTGCCACTAAGCGAATCAAACAAATTATACTATTTCTAAACCGAAATCGTGATGCTAATTTGCAACTCAATAAACTTATTGGAATTGCAAGATTGGTGAGTTTAATTAATTGTTTCTATATTAAACGCGATACTATATATCTCAAATGTTGGAGCATTTGTGCAAATAAAATCATCGCTTAAATGCATTAAATTACTTCATGGAGACTAGAAGTCCAACGAATCATACAATACATATGAAATGCATTGTTTATCCGCTAGAGCGCAGTGACGTAAATTCATCAATCGTGTGTTTTGGAATGAACTTGCTATGTATGTTAGAGACTAACGTACAAGGGTGAGAAATTTGAATGAATGCGTATCAAATTTATATTGATGATGAGGTGAATAATAGTTTGGTATCGAACTTGACAGTTAACTATCTTTCGGAAATCTATATATAACCGTAAGAAGTTGGAAACTCGATTAGGTCATCCACAAAACTCAACTCCCCAACATAAGAACCGTCACATTTACCATGGTGTGATGATCATAAACTAGAAAGCTTAGCTAAATTGGGATATAAAATCAGTCTTTCCCATGCTAGCTAATTTCTACTTGCATCTATACCACAAATGGAAAAAGAAAAGAAAAAAGAAGGGTTCCCCTTAAGGAAGGCTAATTATTTCACTTCTCATTGTTTAAACACATAAAGCAGCATCCCTATAGCATATGCTTGTACATTGTTGAACCATCATCATTAGAAACAAGAATATCCATGTTCGCGAAACTCGTTTATTATGTGTCGTGCAATTTTTTGTTGTCTCGCGTTCTATTCATTACAGGCGGCCAGCAACCAATTTCACGAATGTAGTTAGTCATTCGGTTGAGAAGAGATAGACATACATATAAAATCAACGTACGTCCACCTCCCCCCATTCGCATCATATGATCGTGCGCGATGCATGAAGAACATGAGACGTAATGAATCGTTGTCGAGAATCCTAACAACTGAATAAGTATCTGCAACTCGTAAGTGGGTTGATGTCGTATCTTACCCATTCCATGGACTAAATCGGATTGAATTTTCATAGAAAAACTAGAGATTAGAGGAAGAGTAGAACTAAATAAAGAAGAAGAAAAAACCCTAGTAAGAGTGTAAGACCACAAAAGGAAGAAACAACTTGAAACAAAGAGACCACCCAAAGCCAAGATAGAAAAGAAGAAGGGGGAAAGACAATTATAAAAGGCAGCACAACAAAGGAAGAAGATCGAAAGAAGCTCCACTTTTCCTATTTATTAAACTGCCCTCTTCCCCTCTCTCTCTCTCTCTCTAAAACCAACCACCGGGAAAAAAATGCAGCCTTGCAGCAGAGAAATGGCCGCCGGCGGCCTCAACTCCCCAACAACTACACCACCCTCCCACCAATTCCAACTCCACGACCTCCACCAGATCCACGGCCACTTCGACCACCCTTCCTCCGCCGCCGCCGCCGACGACTTCCTCGACCAATTCCTCTCCTCCGCCGCCTCCTCCCCCTGGTCCTCCTCCGCCGCCGCCGCCGACCTCATCAAGTCCCCCTGGGCCGACCTCGCCGCCGACGACGACAATGTCGCCGCCGGCAACGGGTTCTTCGACGACCCCTCCGCCGTCAGCCTCGCCGCCAAGCTCCGCCACCACCAGATCAACGGCGGCAACAACACTAACGGTAATCACAACAACAACAACAACAGCAAGATGATGCTTCAGCAGCAGCTCCTCATGGCCGGCGACGGAGCTCCGGCTCCGCTGTTTAACGGGTTCGGGTCCGGATCTATCCAGTCCCCGCCCCATTTCCACCATCCCACTATGCAACCCGGACAGAGCTTCGGCGCCGGCGGAGGAGGACCGACCGCCTCGCCGGGGAAAGCTCAGCCGCAGGCGAGTGGGTCGGCGGCGACGGCGTCGCAGGGGAAGCCCAGGGTCAGGGCCAGGAGAGGCCAAGCTACCGACCCACACAGTATAGCTGAAAGGGTAAGTTTTTTTTTTCTTTTTTTCTTTTTCTTCCTCCATTTCCATTTTTTTCACATTTTCTTTCTCCTCCGTTTTCTCCGGAAACAAACAGAGGTGGAAGTTATTTAATTTAATTAATTATACGAAATCGATTTTTTTTTTACTGAATTATTATTATTATGTGTACAGTTACGAAGGGAAAGAATTGCAGAGAGAATGAAGTCCCTGCAGGAGCTGGTTCCCAATGCCAACAAGGTAAAATTGTATTATAGTTTAATCTTGCGTTTGTGAAATCGTATCGTAATTAGTAGTAATCTGATCAATTCGTGACTATTTTTTAAGAATATTAGGTTGTGTTTGTAGAATCGTATCGTAATAACTAATAAACAGGAATCTGATCATTCAATTGGTAACTATTTAGAAGGCGGGAGAGATTTTATTTTTTTATTTTTTTTATATATTGTCAATTTAGTTCTAAATTAAGGGACGGGAGTTGATGGGTGGGTCCCAGGGGAACTGAAAAACTGAGATCAGGGGGGGCCGCAACGCGCGGCGGATTGGTCGGGAGGAGGAGAGAGATTAGTGGGGGGAAATTAGATTATAATTTATAGTTTCCAGTGATTATTAGTTAGCTGATTAATGATTAATTAAGATTCTGATCTGGTTTTGTGTGGGGGGAATGACAGACGGACAAGGCTTCCATGCTGGACGAGATCATCGACTATGTCAAGTTCCTCCAGCTCCAAGTCAAGGTCCTCAGCATGAGCCGCCTCGGCGGCGCCGGCGCCGTCGCTCCTCTCGTCACCACCGCCGCCACCGCCTCCGAGGTAAACCCTAACCAAAATCCTAATTTCAATCATTTTCTCGTGTCGCACATAGAATGAGTCGAGCTAAACCAAATTTATGATTGTACATTGATTTAAGTACCTGATTTTTTTGTATTTTTTTCCGTTTACCCGACAGTCACCTTTTTCTCTGTTTTTTTTTTCACTCACACCACCCACTACCTTATTTTTGGACTATTTACATCCTCAAAAATCCAAATCGCAAAGAAGAAGAAAAAAACAGTCCTTATTCAAGCAGCCGGAACACGACAAAGGGGAAAGCAGCACGCGTGCTCCCATTCCATTCCCAATTTTGTCCACATTCCTCTCCCTTCTTCCCTTTTTAATAATTTTCGCCGGCGTTCTGTCTTTTCTCTTTCCTTAATCCGCCGGGGAAAAAAATAAAAGGAAGTAGGAAATGAAATCGACTAGATTATCTCAATAATTACGAAATCGTATTAAAAGTTATAGCAAAACAAAACAAAAATAGTAGTAGTAATTTATTTTGTTTAGATTGTGGTTAGTATCACTGAAATTGTCTATTATCCGACCAATCGATACGGTAGGATTTCTAAAACGTTATCTCATACATTTTTTCTTAATGTTTTTTTTTTTTTGGCTAGGGAGGAGGCGGCGGAGGGAGCAACAACGCCACCGCCGCAGCAAACGGCGGTTCGTCGGCGAACGAGAGCAGCATGACGATGACGGAGCACCAGGTGGCGAAGCTGATGGAGGAAGACATGGGCTCGGCGATGCAGTACCTGCAAGGGAAAGGGCTCTGCCTCATGCCGATCTCCCTCGCCACCGCCATCTCCACCGCCACGTGTCGTCCCGGCCAGCCGTCGTCTCCCAACATGTCGGTACTCACCGGGGACGTCGCTGTCAAGGACTCCACGTCAGCTACCAAGCCGTGATCCGTCACGGCGTCGTTTTACTTTTTGGCTCTGCTTTTTGGAATTTGGAGGACTCTTTTTTATCGGTAAATAAAAAAAGGAGGATCGGAAGATGACAGACGGAGAAAGACGGGAGGTGGTGGATGGACGGAACGGATGGATGGACGGAACGGGGTTTTCGGGTTTCTACAAACGGAACGTTGACGAAGTCTACGGAAATAAGGGGTCGGATTGACTAACGGAGAATGGAGTGGTTTACACGACGTCGTATTTGCGTAGACTTTGTTTTTATATTTGTTTAGTATAGAGCTTTAGCTAACTACTTTTTAATGTTATTTTGTATTTTGCTTTTTGCTCTAATTCCCAACAAGACCACTACGGTTACCAAAAAGAGACAAGATCCGACCAAATCCCGAGGAGTAGAAGAAGGAATTCTTTTGTTTTTAGGGGGGGAGGGGTTTACTAGATGATTAATTAATTATCATGTATGTACTTAAATTAATTTAATAGTAAGTTGGATTTAATAAATTATTAATTCCTACATCGTTTGTTAAAGGATTCCAGCTTAGTCGAGTGAGATTAGGAATGTGCAACGGGTCATCGGTTAAGTGTTATTAGAAGGCATAATTTTGAGGTGGTTGGTTCAAGTAATATAGAATTTTAGTTTGTTCTTTTATATTTGATATGTAGGAGTATGCAATCTATGAAAAACAAAAGGATTAGTTGTGGGATGTGCAATGGTTAGGAAGTTGGAATTGCATAGGCTCGGTCCAAATCGATTTTGGTTAGGGCATGATACATAATCAAAATTGGTTTTGGTGTTCCAGTCTTTGAATAAATTCATGTTCCTGATATTGAACATAAGACGTAGAGGTTGTGTTTATCACGCGAAAACTAGTTGAACCACAAGGATGGTTGGTTTTGAGGTCTCATTTCCACTTACAAATACTCATATTTCTATTTACTGGAATCATTGAGCTTTTGAAAATGAATTTGAATTTTGAACCACACTTAAGAACAGCAAGAACCATTCACAATGCAGAGTAGTCGAAATTTAAACCCATATATAGTTAAGTTGAGCATGGAACTAGCTAGGTACAACAAACAAGCTATGCTAATAGGCTATCTACAATTGAGAGACAAGCTAGGTTTACAATTTCATATATGCATTAGAACTAAAGAACAAAATTCTTAGCTTTTGCTTTGGTTGAATGAACCTCTAGAAGGAAGGACCATAAAACAAAAGAACCGTGTCCCATGAGGAATTGAGGATTACATTTTAAGTCAACGGCGTGTCACTTTTGTAGTTTTTTTTTTTCCTTCTTTCTTCTTGTTTTGCTTTGTTATGATTAAGTTAGCAAGGGAATCTTAAAAGATAACAAAGGAAGAAGAAATAAAGAATAGAGGGTTAGCTCATACACCTAATCTAGTTAATTTTGCTTTAAAGAGTGTTATATATATTTGGTTTTGTATGCAAGCTTGTTGGATTTGTTACATTTCAAACAAAGAGTTGTTAGTGGGTTTGCCGCCGGATCACTATGTAATTGTGATTAGGCATTAAGCAAAACATACATATACTAGAGTTAGCCATTAATTAACCAATTAGTATATGCCCCTTGGCCCTTGCAAACCAATTAACCAATTATGTATATGCCCATTGCAATCTAATTTCCCACTAGTGGTTGACGAAGTGTTACGACTCATCCTACCAATTTGAATTGTTTAGGAGAGGTCCAAGTGTCCAACGATGGTTCTTGTGTCATTGTTCTTATAGCATGACACATTCTCAATTTTGAATGCATGTTATGCATATAATCCAGTAATCTTCAATATGGTCATTAATTTTGTCTCAAGGGATCTCAATCTTCAAATTGTATACCAATAATGAAAAAGTAAACGTGAGAATTCATGTGAAAAATCATTTATGATTTGCTGGTATTTCCAATGTTTGTGAAACTTGTCCAGCACAACTTCAGAAATTCATCTAATCATGACTAGTATATGGATGGATTAATGAGACACGAATTAGTTGTAATTTGAGAATATATTATCCTATTAAACAACTATTGATGATTACAAATTTGAATTTCATTATTTAGAGCCTAGTTCTAGACTATGATTTATTCTATAAGACCGAAAATTGATCAAGAGTGTACCATATAGTTTATAGAAACACTTTCATTTTATATAAAAACATGATAAATTTCAAGTTGTAAGAAAAGAGGGTTTATAGTCATATCTTACACTCAAGACTAGAATTGAAGTGATTACCATCATACTTACCTACTTTGAGATGATTTATGTATCCATTGGTACAATTCAATCCACCAAAGGGGGAAAAAGGTCACTTTTACTATCTAATTAATCTCCATTATTACGCATGGTAATTAGAGTTGAGTAAACAAACTGTGCGGTAATTAAGAGACATGGTGAGGGTTGGAGTTCCGTTTTGCCAATGCATTCCTCCAAGGAGAAAAGCTTGGTGCTGAAGTAAAAACGAAATCACCTTGTGGTTATAAGTAGAGGTGGCAATTGGATCGGATTCATGGATTCGTGGATTGGATTGGCGGATCCATGGATCAAATGGATTGGATCCAATGGGTTGGTGGATTCATGGATTGGATCAAATGGATTGGTGGATTGATCCATGAATCCAAATGACATCCAAGGCTTGGACCAAAATGTAAATTTTGAAAAGTTTAGGTACTAAGATGTCATAATGAAAAATTTTAGGTACCAAAATGTAATTTTCCAATGATATTTTTTGTATAAAAATATAAATTTTAGGTACCAAAATGTAAAATATAAAAAATATAGGTACCAAATCGTAATTTGCCATTTGGATACATGGATTGATCCATGAATCCACCAATCCAATTGGATTTGGATCAAATGGATTGGATTTAAATGGATTGGATTAGGTGGATAATTTGGTGGATGGATTGGATTGGATTCATGGATTTGGATCCTAATTGCCACCTCTAGTTATAAGCAATTAACCACTAAAAGGTGGCTCGATGTTGTGATGCTGATAAGTATGACGTGCTTTTGATTTCAATTTCGACGGTACATCATTAAGAGAAAGATTTCTTCGTAATTATCCGCAATACTTTGCTTATCAAACATTCATAAGAGTCGGAATAACCTCGAATGTTTACCTCAAAATCCCTCATAAAAAAAGTAGTTTGTTCAATGTTCTAACCTCCCTTCCCCACTCCACCCAAACTAATCATAATTAATTAACCACAATGCTTGGATTTGTACCCACTAATTACCAAGTATCAACCAAGTAGGTTGAGACTTTGAGAAAACAGATTCACTCCCTCTGCCCTACCTGTCACTCTCCTCCCTCCCACCTTCCCACGTGGCAAGCTGTAAGAAGGGGGGTGGCAGTTCAATTACGGGTACAAAGCGATAAATCCTTATTGGTTTTGGTTAAAACTCGAACCCGATAAAAAACCAATAAGTCTTAAAATCAAAAGATTATTTTCAGTTTTCAGTTTATTCTAAACAAAACCGAATCCATTAGGGGCAACCGAAAAACCAATAAGCACTTAACAATTCCAATTTCGATTTGAGCAATTGGCTAATTCGAGTTTCGCTTTTTATGGTTAGGTTAACAGAACCAAACTGAACCGCCGCCCCTAGTTGTAAGTAGTAGTAAGCCGACTGAATGTGATGGAAGCTTTGATTCAGACCATTTGTTTAAAGGATTTGCAGCAGATCTTAATATTCAGAAATGAGAATTAACACTGCAGAATGCACATGGGAGAATTAAAGTGACTTGCTTCCCACAAAGTCTTGGATCATTATATCGGGATTAAACAAAAGGCTTTGAAATTATAGCCCCATACATTTCCTCACAAGGCAAGTGAATCAGATCAAACAGTGCAGCAGATGGAATCAAAAACAGGCTTGGCATTATCAAATCCCATATTATAATAAAGCCTATCTGAAAGGGGAAGTTGACAAATTCACTCTTATTAGACTTCCTAACATCCATCTGGAAGTTGAGAACTTACATGGAAGGAAGGTTGCAGCTTTCTTTGAATCTCACGAGATTCAAGCAATTTCATGAACCCTGCAGAACTGAAACAGCACTAACCAAGGCTTTGTGTGACTATATATATACCTGTAGACAAGCTTCAGTACTACTCATAAGTTCAAGGTCAGGTTCTACTTTGAAGTCCAAACTGCAGTTGTAGCTTCTAAGTTCATTCCTGTTTGTTAAGAACTATTGTGTGAAACACTGAGAAGTAATCAGATCAGGCACAAGTGCGAACCGTATAGGATAAATTAAGAAACAAACAGTACATGTTATGCTTTCTGTTCCACTGTATGATGACAACAAATGCATAGATTCGACAAGGGTCACGAAGCCCTCTTTTAGGGAACATAGGCCGTAATCATTAAGAATAACAGTCACACATATAGAGGTACATGGTTCAGTTTTAGTTCCACTGCATACACCACAAACTGTTCTAGGTTTGAGCAAAGCTCAGTGAGAGACACGGTTAATAGAATCTGATCTCACAAAGTAAGCAAGCAGCAAACTCTTTTACTTGGAACATGCTGTCCCAGAATTCAACCTGAGTACCGAAACCAACCTGACCATAGCGATCTTGAACCAAAGCTCAAGCTCTATACCCCTGCGAAAATGGTATAAATTTGAGCTGATGAAGGCACCATTAACCATCCAGCCAAGGAATCCATACATTTATCTTTCAACTAATAGCATCTAATTCAATCATCTCTTTCTATTGTCCAACATATCAGAAGTAAAACGAGCTAATCCCAATTCCCAACCCTAGAACCCATGTCAAAGATGGAAACTCTGTAACAGAAGAACTCATCTTTGTGGATTGGGCTATGTATAATCAAGGTTATAGAACACAGCATTTGGACACAACAAACCTGCATTGCCATAAACCCCGAAACCCAAAATCTTACGAGTGGCGAGAAGATCCAATTTCAAAGTAACAAAGGAACTAACTGATTAAGCTTTCTGTGGAAGTATCAACGGACCTCCCCTGGTTTCCTTGTCATCCAGTAGCCTCTGCACCCTCTTCTCCTTACAATACAGCCTATCGAAATGCTTCACCTAATCAAATCAAACACCAAATTCCCACAAACCAAAGCTTTAGATGGAGAAAATTTGGATTTCAACTAGCCATGGCGATTAGTTCAGTTCAGTTTTGTACCCAAGAAGGCCGGCAGCTGTTCTCGTAGGCAAGCCTCGCTTTCTTGCACTCGGCCGGGTAGAGCAGCCCGACGCAGCCGAGTTCCGTCGGCTTCTTGTCCGATTGATTCTTCACACAATCGTAGAAAGCATCGCGAGCCTGCCAAGTTTCCCCTAGGTTTGTGACATTCTTCCTACCAAAAATGAATCGATGGAAACGGGGGGAAATGGTGGTGGGAGGGAGAAATTCGGACCTTGTAGCAAGCTTGTCTGGCTTGAAGGAGAACGTCGGTGTGGACTTGATCAGGGTTTCTCGATGCGTAGGCTTCCGACGCCATTGATGAATTGATCTTTGCAGCTCCAGAGAAAGAACGAATGAAAAAAATTCGCGGCACCGACACCCAAACCCGCCGGCGAGAGTGAATGTAGGAGTTTCTGAAATTGGGCTGGACTTCACCGGCTAACGCATGAGCCTGGGCTTCGCTGAAACTATCAAGTGGGTGGAGCACACTAGGCCTGATGGTAGTGGGCCTCAGGTTTGTCATGGCGGGCTGGGTTTGCTTTATAAATTATATCACAAACAATTTGGCAATCTCTTTGCGTTGTGTCATTGGCTTGCCGAACTTTGCCTAGTTTGAGTAAATGTTAGGGTAACCAAGTAACAAGAAGTGAGTTCTTGGTAAAATGTCCTTATATCATCTTTAGATGGTGAGCTTGATCCCTACTATAAACAAAAATATGATTTATTTACTTTTGTTTAACAAAACTTGCATATATCTTGTGACAAATCCAAAACATTTTCCCACTGCGAAAAGAAAATATAAACTCATGTTGCAAATTCGATTAATCTGATTAAGAGGAAAAAAACAAGAATGAGAGTGTAAGCAGGTGATGACCTATCTACTATGGGGCGGAGAAACAAAGTCAAACTCATTTAACATACTGAACAGTAAAATAAGGACATGAGGAGCCGCTAAACGAGTCACCCAGTTCTCTAGACGATCAACGAAACTAATACAATAACCATAGGCGACATAAACTCTTGTTTTTTTTAGACAAGTAAGAATATTCAGCTGGTTTGATTTATAGAAGAGAAATAATTCATTGTTTGTTTACCATCATGGAAGGTAGGGGGTGTGCAACGGTTGGGTCTGTACCGGACCGCACCATCTCAAATTGTAGCTTGCACTAGATCATATCGTATCAAATATGATGTTGTTCAATCATTGGTTTCATGAAATTTTATAAATACCGAATAAAAATGGACCAAACGCATTGTTGATCTGGTTATTAATTCTACGATATCATTCATTATTGGACAATTGCTCTCATAATTTTGATCCAATGCGGACCGGACACTGCACACCTCTGATGAAAGGTAAATAAATGTACCTGTCATGTGATAGTACATGTATATTGACCTTTCTACATCTCAAGCCTTATAGCTTTTAAGATGGTGCAATAGTCGCCCTAGCAAGGACTCACCTAGGGCCATTAGGACTCGGTGTCAAAACCGTTGTCACCTCTATTACCAAAATCGCACGAAAAATGGTCACTTCGCATTTATTAATAGTACTTAGAGATAATATTTCACTTGTACTTTGGGATACCCAATTCGCTTCTCACAATTAACACAAGGGATTTGTCGTTCGCACAACAGATATTTGTATGTGAATTGGGTTGGGTCATGGGTGATTTTTGGTGATGGGTGGTTCGGTGGGTTAGGTAGATTCACAAAATACATTCTAAGATTTCACATTATTCTAAATCTAATATGAAAGAAATCTCCAAACTAAATAATGTTTAATCCTTAATCATATATGCATCATTGGGCTTACAATATACCGATGTTAATTGTTTGCAAATCACAAAATATTCAAATGATAAACATGATCTAAGTACAAGCATAACAAAATAAAAAAACAAAGATGAAGTTTCAGCATAAATCTAGCTAATTATGCAAGTCTTTGAGTCAATACCCTCACTAACACTTATGAAATGAACAAGATAATGACTTATAAGTCAACTTAGTATAACAACAAGAAAAGTTACACAAGGAATTGCAGAAGGAAGTGAACACATGATATAGATTTTCAACCATGGAAACAAATTAGACTTTGCAATTATCCTTGATAACCATAACTTTGTGAAGATATATATTCAAAATTGGGAGGACGTGATATATAGAGATTTGAGAAGATCTTTAGATCGAAATTGGGGGAAGTGGTTTTTTCTTTATTTTTCAGGGTTTTAGTTTAGCTTAACCTGTAGGTTATATATTCAATGGTTTGAAGTTCAAATTTTTTATGGATCGCGGGTTAATCACAGTTCACCCACACAAACCCAATCTTTAGTGGGTCTGGATCATTCTCTTACCTGAATTTTTCGAGTATTCATGAAGATGGAAATAGCCTTTTAAGTATGAGCCCAACATTTTAGCTCGTGGAAATTCTTTTCTAGGTTGTAGTAGTATCATCCATCGATTGCATTAATGGAGGAGATTATTGCGAAGGTACTAGATTTGGCGTCTGAGTGACCCACCAATTTGTTTGTAGAAATCATATCATAGGTCTCCATCTCGTCGTCCTTTGCCTCATTGCCTTGCAAACTTCATTACCATCAATCGAGTACACTCTCTCTTCCCCACTAACACTCATGCCATTAGGTTTTCTTCTCCCCAACTCTTATCCAAAACTTTATCCGTTTATAGCAGCACTCAACTACCATTCCAAATGGAGAAAATTTACACATTACCCTTTTGATTCTTACTTTGAACCCTAAAACATATGCACCCAACTCATGTTTCCACACACATGTTATTGTAAAACGTGTTTATGTATATGAGTGGTTGAGGATGGTTTGATTGTTTGACCTTTTTCCAAAGAGCAAGAGCTTTGGTTTCTTGCTCTTTCTTCTTTGTCGGCCATTGAATTGGAGACCTAACTTTTTATGTATATCACTCACAATAAACTCTTAAGGCCAAGTAACAAAAAAAAAAAACCCTAAAAATGTGTATGTAAAATGATGAAGTACATAAAACAAATGTAATAGCTACTAGCTAATGGATGAAAATGGAATAAGAAAGGAGAATCAAGAAGAGGAGCAACACACGAGCCGCCGATATAGAGGGAAACAAGCATAGAGAGGGGAAATGAAGCCTCTTGCATAACGTACAAGAAGATGTAAAGGCTCAGAGAGTAGCAAAGACATATCCGAACAAATGTAATTGACAGGAAAAGAAAGCAGAAGCCTCTTGCAGAACGTACAAGAAGATGTAAAGGCTCAGAGAGTAGCAAAGACTGATCCGAACAAATGTAATTGACAGGAAAAGAAAGCAGAACCAGAACAAAGATATATAGGGAAAACATATGTGTTGACGAAAGGCATTGAATCCTAAATTTAGGTTTCATAAATAATTATCTTTTCGTGTTGAAGTTACGGTTGTAAACTTCTAATGAAAAAAACTTCGTGATAACTCATGCATAGAGGGTTATGTCAATGGTGCTCTACATAATTAGTGCTAATGATGATTTTGTGTTTAAAACACATAGTCTTAACAAATAGCCAATTCCAGGTCCAACTTGTAACCCTTCTACCTTAATAGGACTCTTAAATGGACCACAATCATCAATCAAATTCGAGGTAAGCCAAAGATAAGCTTAGGGGTCGAAAGATACTTAAGTATGAAAAAAACATCATCAATGTCTATATGTAAGATTAAAAAAATAACATTGTATTACCCCATGATTTGACCACTTGTTGATTGATTAGTGGTACAACCACATCGGTCCTCTCCAAGGACAGAAGCCATTAAGTTTGCCCTAAAAACGGTACAAATCACATTATTAAACAAACCATCTAATCTCATCGTACATAAAGGATTAATGAATGGAAGGCATCAATTATAAATTAGTACGATCAGGATTGGGTCCAAATCAGATTATTTAAATTCCTTTACAACCATTGTTAAATGTATACGATAATATATTCGAAATTTCACGACAATATCATTGGTTTGATCTTAACATAAATATTGAATAATTCTCATATTTTAAAAAGATTTGACGTATCATATTGAAAGAGGATGAATATGTAGATCCTCGTTTTTTCGCTCCCTTTAGATATCATTATGACTTCAATCTTTCACGTAACCTAAACTCTCTGTTGCTCATCTCCCCCCTCGCTATCGCCCCCCTCTACCTCTCTACTCATCGACAACATTCCTATTAAGATCACAACATATATGTCTCTGCTCTCTTTCTCTTGCTCATCCTATTTTATCTCACTTGTAATATCACATCCTCAGATAAATTTTCAGACTCCAATATTTTTTTTTACTCTACACGATGAAACAATTACACATGATAAGATTACAGGGAGAATATAATTTCGTCTATGCAATCATGTAAAAAATTTCACCATTTGTTTTCAACACATTATCGTGAAATTCATCTAACCCAACAAAAATATGTCATCATGGCCGTAATGTTTGACCAAGTACTAAACCAGAAGACAAGAAGCCTATGAGATGGGACAACAAATTTAAGACAAAGGACAATCAGCTTTATACGATGCATAGAAATGGGGTCAATTGCAAGGATGGTCACTGGATTTACTAAAAACGTTCATGTTTGGTCACTCCAAATATTTAATTCCATTCATGGTCACTAAGATTAGTTCAATAGTTCAAGTTTGGTCACTCTCCGTTAGTCTCCGTTAGTTTTTGCTGATGTGGCAGTCAACTATTATAGTTGACTGTTAAATGAGTGACGTGGCCATTAAAAAATTATTAAAATAATAAAATTTAAATATTTACAATTTCCACCTCATTTTACAACTATTAAAAAATAAAAATAAAACTTAATAGATGGCCTCCGCCATCTACGCCACCGCGATTCTGATCGCTCCTCCTTCGAATTGTGCTGGGGTATTAGTGAACTGGGTTCTTGTCCTCTTAATCGATTATGCCAATTCTGAATTTTTCTTCTTCTTATTGTTTACTTTAGGTTACCTGAAAGATGCTTATACACCACCGTGATACCCTGTTCAGGGCAGCCATGGACAGAAGTTCCCTTCCAAAATTCAGCGTAGCGAGAAACAGCCATGGACAGAGCCTCTTTCTTAGCTCCACCATCGCCTGATTCCCAGTTGTTCCACTAACCGACTCCACCGCGTTGTTAAACCCACCGACGACGACGACGACGGATTCCTTGAAATGGCATCATCAATTGCAGTACAATTTCCATCAGCAGCGACAGGAGGAGGGTTCCTTCAGCGGCAATTACATGGGCTGCGTTTTGAACGGGTTTCACGGCGGCGGCGGCGAGGATGGTGGGTTAGGGGAAGTGGTGGAGATGAGCCGGAGCCCTTCTTCTTCCGTTAAATTGAAACCCGACCCGGGTTTCTGCTGGCCCAATTTGGTTCCGATTGGGAATCATGTGAAAAGTTCGCTAACGGCAACCGAGTCGTCCTCGCCGCCAGCGATGGAGACGCCGACTACGGTGGAGATAATATCCACCTTAGGGTTATCCTCCCCAACAACAATATGCACAGCAACAATATGCCCAGCAACCACCCAGTCAATTTCCCTTCCTCCCTTTTACTTTCTCCTTCCGATTACTCATCTGCCGGATATTCGAAGGAGCAGGGATCAAAATTCGGTGGCGTAGATGGCGGAGACCATTTGTTAAGTTTTATTTTTATTTTTTAATAGTTTTAGAATGAGGTGGAAATTATAAATATTTTAATTTTATTATTTTAATATTTTTTAATGGCCATGTCACTCATTTAACGGTCAACTATAATAGTTGACTGCCACATCAGCAAAAACTAACGGAGACCAACGGAGAGTGACCAAACTTGAACTATTGAACTAATCTTAGTGACCATGAATGGAATTAAATATTTGCAGTGACCAAACATGAACGTTTTTAGTAAATCTAGTGACCATCCATGCAATTAACCCCATAGAAATGAGAATCTTTTATGAAATTGAAAAAGTAATTATACTAGTGCTATTAACATTTAACATGTCGAATATAATTTTATTTTAAGTAATAATTAGTAAGAAATTGTTCTGCCAGATATGTATTGGTCTCCTTCGTTGAGGAATGTTGATAGGATAATTGAGAATATATAAAAGTTTCGTTTGATTAGAATGTGCAAACTGCAAACCTAAGTTAGTGGAAAATGACAAGTAGAAATGCATAAATATCTAGAATTTAAATATTCATCTAGTGATGTTTGTAAGGTGAGTATTGATTAGGATGACTATGCTAAAAATGTCGACGGCGCTTATGCAAGTTCTACCATTAATTCAAATTATTGATAATTTTAATTTTTTATGGCGACTCTACTATACACTGTGAGACACAAAACTAAGAGAGAAAAAAAGAAAATAAATTTCACATTGTTCCTTTTCTTTTCGAAGGAGAGAAAATAGAGGATCACAAATTATACGTCACACTCCTTCAAGGCGGTTGCATGTTACATCTCAATAGTGACCAAATGAATTTTAAGACCTTACATGGATTGGACATTTTATGTAAAAAATCCTCCAAAGCAAAAGGCCATTTACTATATGGATAACGTGTCAAGTGTATTCAATCCACCTTTCGAGAAACGATCAAAATAGCCTCTATAGGTGGGGAGAAGCCCCGTGACCAGCTCTAGATGTAACTTAAGGTCGATGCTCTTCACTCAATAGATTCTTTAAGAACTATCAAGACTGATTGCATTGACATCCCGTTACACGCCAACTAGCATTTTTTTAGCCTGCATAAAAACGACAACTTGAACTACATCACCATCCTCTCATGTAACTTTTACTTTCTTTGTGCAGAAGTAACGCCATACAAACTCCCTTAAACATCAGACTACCTTAGACTCGATCGTACCAGCTAGCATATTCTTTTTTTTTAGCACAATCTTTCCAGACTCTTAATCCATGACTCTAAGTTGATACATCGTCCAAAATGTTGTACCGTTCGACAAGCTAATCCCGAATCCGAGTCACATATGTACCAATAAGTTGTTGTGATCTCAAAAGGCCTCGAGCCCACATGTCCTTTGTACAATTCTTTAACCTTAGGTATGGTACTCATCTTTTGATGACCCAATACCCTATAATCTCATCTCTACCGTATTGTTATATAGCAATTGTTTATACTTATAATTGTTTATACATAGATTCGGATTAGGTTTGGATTGAGTGATTGACACTTAATTAAATAGGTGAAAATTTCGGATTGGATGAATGCGTTGTCGATTTGCCATTCGCTCCTCTTTGGCCTTAACGCAATTCCCGTTTATTATAATAATAATAATCTTAAAATATATTAAAGGACTTTAAGATTTTGGCCCTCTCCACGTAAGCCTCTTTGGAAATTTAGCCTATCCACGTGGCCCCCAAAACCCGCTCAGACGCGCTCTCCACCATCCTCTCTCTATTAAAAAACCATTTTCCCTTACCATTCGCCGCAACGTTCATTCTTCCCAATCTGCAAAACTTTCATCTCCGTCAGACTCCATAGTGAGAAATCGTGAAACCTGCAACTACCAATTTCAACGCAATGAATCGTCCGCCAGAACCCAGCAGTGCCCAGTCGAATGATGCGCTTTGATTTCACATTTCGTTCTGTCAATTTCAACCCTGTTCTGAGATGATTAATCGATCGAAACTAAATCCCCTCCGATCAACATATCGATCCAATCGTCCCGAATCCCTCCCTCCAGAATGAGATCCATCATCCATCCCAAGAAAGCATTAGCGAATCGACAGATAGTATCAACTCCAACAAGGCCATCTTCCGTTACGGTCTCTGCTCTCTATCGGTTTGATTACGAATTTTCCTTTTCAATTTCTTTCGTTTCTAATCTTCATCCAATTGGCCAGATGGGATCCTAAGTCATAGATGCATAGTTTCGATTCCAATTTTTGTTCATTATGTTTTATCATGAATTATTGTGTTGCCGCTTGAAATGCTGTTTAGTTTAGGGTTGTTTCTTCAATAATAATTTCTGATACACTTCCCCGACTATAGAAGGCGAGTTGATGTTTCCAAAATCACAACAAGTATGCTTGAAGCGACATCGAAAGATGGCATGCATTTTCTATTTGCTGTCTTTTTTTTGTTGTTGCTTCATATTCATATTCGAAATTCTGCAGCACTCTTCTTCTACCATTCATTCTAATGCCATAGGCAGTAACTGTAGTGGTGGGTCGAACCCCAATTGAACTCTGTTTCTCCAATTCAGAGATTTGGAATCGGACCTCTTTAGACTGGAAGTGCTTCTGAATATCCTTTTTTTGTGCTCGAATCTCTCTCTTTTTGCAGGATGAACTTTTGTTTATGTGTCTTTCTGGATTGCCAATCGCAAGTTTAGATTTGTCAAGGTGTGATGGAATTGGTAGAGTATGATTTAGGGTGATGGAGGTTTTTGTTTCAGTTTAGATCTATGCTAATGTTGTCTTTAAAAAAGAGCAAGCAGTAAGCATCATTCACGCAGTGGGACACCAGGAGGAGACAAGGTCATGCTGCCCTTGAAGTAAGGTGGTTCCTGAATGCATGTTGATGTAGGTTCGGATGGGTAAAGACTCATTGTGATAAGTTATTCCACATTGGGTTTCCTGTGGTGATTGCTTTATAACTCATAAGTAGCCTTAAACATATATGGCACTGCACAACCTGAATCACATGTCCACCATATCGTTGTCTTACTCTCCCTTTTAAACCCGTAACGTATTAATTTAGTATGATGAACTCTAATTCTGAATTATACTCTTATTTTCTTATGTTGTGAAGATGACAACAGATCCAAAATGTATTTAGACGAAGTGTAGACAGTACTTAATGGTCCCTATTCCAGTAACTCGACCAGGTCTTTTGCTCATGCCTGGTGATGTATCAAAGGTTGCGTATGTGAAAGGAAATAGGGGTTTGCTCGAGGGGATTGCAGAGCAAGTACAACAGCAGTGGAGCGGATGTGACCTGGAGAGATTAGTGATTGGTATGAAGAGGCTTATTAACTCAGGCTTAAGAGTTATGAAGATCAACCAATCTAGGGCCGGTGCATAACTTCATAAATTAGAGTTCTATGCGAGTGTATGAAAGCCTAAATAGCAAAATGAGCCCATTGCCTACCACTTCCACTTTCAGCTTGCTTTAAATTATCTCAATCCATAAAAAATTCAACCAAAATCTTCAATGCAATACAATTTTACCTTTGTATGTTTGTCAATTGAACCTCTTACAATAATCAAGCCACTTATGATTCGTGATTCAAAGAATTTATAGTTGACCAATATTTATACAGAAAACAAGATCGTATCACAGCACAAAGGAACATATAAATAATAGTATTTGTGAAACTATAGCGGTGAATCATGGTTGAAGTACAAAATATTCTAATGTTAACTTTTTCAGAACAATTGATTTCTCTATATTTGATAAACAAACAAAAAAAACTTGATAAACAATTAAAAAGTTAAAAAGCTATTAATTCCGGCCAAAGGCCGGGCCCACAGCTAGTAATAATAATAAAGGAGAAGTGGAATCGAACCAACCAGAGAATGTGAGGCCCACCGTTCCATATCGTACACCCGCCATCCGACGGCTGAGAATCCATCGTGACAAGCCATCCCTACGAACGGAGCGACGAGAGAGCGCCACGTGTCGGTATCAGGTCCCTGTGAGCCAGTAAACGCTCGACAAAGCCAGAGCAGCAGCTCGCAGTCAGTCCGGTCCACCACCACCGTCCTCTTCCGTCACTCCCCACTCGACAACAAACGAGTAGTCCTCTAGGATTCAATTGCAGCGAGTAGTGAGTGCACCCAAAAGGAATCCGCGAAGGAAGCTGCTCTTGTCACCCATTAAAGAAGGGGTTCTCTGCCCCTTTTTGAGTTTTGGTCATCTTCTTGCTTCCTTTTCCTTTCCTTGTTTACTGTTTTCAATTTGTTCTTGGCGCGGCAGCTGGATCATGGTTTGGTAGGTGTTTCTGCTTCCCGGAGGAAATGGGGGATCTGGGTAGGGGAAGAAAGCTTACGGTATTGAGGAGTTTTTAGATTGCTTATATCTGTGTATGTGAGTCTGAGAAACCCTAATTGGTAGCAAAGTGATGGATGAAGATTGAAATGCTTTTCTTCTTTTATCGTATGAAGATTGAGCTCTATTGGGTCTTTTGGGTTCCCTTTCTTTTTGGTTGGGAGTTGGAAAAAAGGTGGAGGGAAATGAAGGGAGTTGGATAGGTAGAGCCAAAGATGGAATCTGTGGCTGGGTTTTTCTTTTGCCAGAAATGGTAAAATTTTTCAGATCTGCCGAAATGGGGTTTTGGGAAAACAGGAGGTCTTCTCTTCTGGTCTTCTTACAATCTTTGAGGGTGCAGGGGGCGTTTCATTTCGTTGACTGGTTTAGAGATAGAGAGAGAGAGAGAGGAGAGGAGGTGACTGAGACTGACAGAAGAGAGTGAGCACACACGCAGGCAATTGTATGAGGCGAGTACCTTTGCGGGGTGCGTGCTCACTTCTCTTCTGTCATCTTCCTTTCTCTCTATTTGAAAGAAAAATCTTTCTCCTTTCCCTCCTCTCCCCTCATCTCTATCCGGTTGCATGCTTCTCTGTAGCTAGTGATATGGTCAAATTAATGCTCTATTTTGCCATATTTATGTTAAATGTCTTCGTGGCACTCTTCTATTCTATAACATTGCAGCAACTGCAGAGCTCTGTATATATGATATGCTTAAAAAGCATCAATGGCAGGCTTTTTCCGTTCTCCACATCATCTTTCCTTTCTTGTGTTACGCGGGCTCTTTCCTTTTCTCTCCTCTGTCTCTCTCTATCTCTCTCTCACCCTCAAGTCACAGGCAGCAGCCAGGTGAATAGTGGTGGACTGGTGGTGGAGGTAAGATAATCGGTTCTGTTGCTTTCTTTGGTACACTTACTTCTCTGAAGTTTGCAAATAAGTACTATTAGTTTGTGAAACATATTGGAACATTCTGTGTGTCAAAACTTCTCTTTTGGTGGAAGGAATGTTGGATTATAAAGATCATCACCACCACGAAGAAGAAGAAAGGTAATTTCTTTCGATGTGTTTGTAATTATGTATATCGCATATGTACCTTCTCTTATTTTATATTGTTTAATGCATAGAACGAGAGAAAGGGACAATCTTTGGCCTCAATTGAAAAGCGTGGAATTCGATGGTACCTCTTTGGTAAAGGAAGAATTGAAAGAGGGGAGGGAGGGAGACCGGAGCGGAATGGAATGGTACTTGCTACTGTTCAAGCTTAACAGAAACCGTATTCTCTCTTCTTTGCCCCCAAAGCTTGCGCCTTTTACCTGCATAGTTAATTACTCCAAGCTTATCTTACTAAACCCCTTTCTCCTTTTTCCTGTTCTCGCTCACCAGATCCGTGATCCCTTCTTTTTTCATGTTTCTTCGATGGCATCCTACAACTGAAGAAAAGGGGCTGCTGTTAGGGTTCCGTTTTGTGATTTTGGGTTTTGGGGTTCTTTTTGGTCATATTGATTCTCAGCTTCAAATGGGGTTTCCATAAAATCACCCGAGTTTGTCGAGATTCCATGGCGATTCGATTGATCCATCTGTCTGTCTATCTTCTCCCACACACTGTTCCTTCCTGAAGAAACATTGCCGGTTTCAGAAATTCAGGTACTTATTTCTTACTTTGCCTTTCCTTTTCTGGCATTGGTTTTGGGTTTTTCAAACCGAGACTGATATTTGTGATCTTATGGTGGAAAGAAGGAAGCTTCCCGGAAATCGGCCAGAGTAGAGTCTGTCGGCGTTCCCAGCAGTAGCGAAATCTTATTTGGCGCCAAACATGGGAAGGATTTATTGTTTCCCTTTCTGGGGTGACTATTTTGTAGTTATGGAAGGGAAAAGTTTCCATCTTTACAGGTTCGTCAACTTGATTTCTCTATATCGGGCTGATTTCTCGCTTACTCTTTCTTGTGTTCTTCTATAAAGGAAGTAACTTGACAGTTTAGTATATTTCCACCGTTCTATTTGCTTGCTGTTATCTGCAGATGGAACAGATATTGTCTTTGTTTTGGTGGTAGTGGGGCGGACTGTCTGCTGCAGATACTACAATTTGAGGAACTAATCATCAGGTAGCCATGTTAGTTTTTGTGTTCTTCAGAGATGGATTTCAGTTGTGTTGGTTTGTTTCTGATTTTATGTTGATTCACATCTTCTTGGTTGTAGCTTGCTTAGTTGAGACATCTCTGATTGAGAATGTCGTATCTGCTTTAGTTTCTTACTGAAGTGCTTCTTTTAAGATGATGTCGTCTGTTGATTGGTATGCATCATTGGTATGGAAATAGTAGGTGGAGATGATCTCGACGATTGGTTTTCGTTTACTGACTAGTTTTTATGTCTTAACATTGTGATTGGTATTCTGCCATGGAATGATAGATCAATTGGTGAGCATCATTGTTACAGAATTAATTTTAGGGACGATATAGAACACTAGGTCTAATTTGGTTACTGTTTTCCATCTCTTATCATTCATAATTCATGTCGTTTTATGGAATAAAGTTTTCTTGAGAATAGTCAAAATTCGCTAGATCATTATTTTTCTCTTGAAAGTGGTCTGCCTGCATTTCGCTCAAGACTTTTAACAGTTTTGATTATTTGATCTAATGTCTTAATATGCTCAGACATAGAATTAAGAGCATAATTACCCTAGAAAGTCAATAACAAACAGGCCTTTAATGGAATCTTAATGAAGCTACCAATTTAGTTTGTGTTCTCGAATTGATTTCCCATCGACATAGCCCTAATTATATTTGTTGAATTGGTTGTTAGTTTTATCCTTCAATTGTACCTTTTCACCAAAATATTGAATTTTTCTTCAAGGCATGGTTGAAATCTGTTGGTTCCCAGGCTAGAACAATTCTCTTCACTTGCTAATTCAAGACTCGGTTGGATTTCTTGTGTTCGAAATTGAGTTCATAAGCTATTTATCATCTCCCTGATTTGTGTTCAACAGTTCGTTTAATCCTTTACATTGTAGTTTGACATCGGTAGCTGGATTTAATTAATGTCTGAAATCCAGTGAGGGAGGTAATGTGATTAGAGTACTTTACTAGGGGTTGGCCATTTCAGTCTCTTAGGTATGAATGTATGAATTTCTTGTCATCTACTAGCCACGGAGCGGCAAGTGAGCTTATAATTAAATATGAAAACCATACCCGAACCATATGTAGCACTCATTGTAGGTGGTTAAGCATCTAGATGACAACCCTATTGATCAGCACCAAAAAACATCCCTATTGATCAGCACCAAAAAATGTTATTGATGTTGGTCCCTGATTCCTAGTTTCCAGTAGGAGGTGTTACTATTGGTTTGGTTCTGTGGCTCTTGATGGTGAATGCTTCTAAGATGGGCAGTGTGTTTCTCCTGTATTGTTTGATTAATGTGACCTGACCTCACTGCCCATTTTGATTTAGATGGGTAACTTTCCTGACTCTTTGGGTGTTTTGGTGCCACTTTCCTATGTTTTGCTAACTAACCATGGCATCTTGCTGTCTGGCAGTTGATTGCCTGGCTATGTCTAGTGTTACTATTTATAGGTTGCCAATTTCCTTCTTTCATGCATGTGTGGACAAATCTCTACTTTGCACCTTTTTTGAAAGTTTCATAGGTTTGTTTGATTTGTTTCCATTCATTTGTGCCCTTTGACTTGAACTAGTTGGCCAGAACTTAGTGCTGGTTAGGAATCTGGTTAGGGAAATCCTTGTAGCGAACAATGGCTAGAACCCTTTTACTCCCAGTTGTATGTAGCATATGAACTGATTTAACGATATGAACATGTCTGTTTTCATATGACTTGTTGCTTCCTCCAGCATGTCTCTAATTGTCATAGGAGGTTTAAATTGGAAGTCGTTGACTTTTTTAATTATTCCTTACAGTTTTGTAGTTTGTGCTACAAATATCAATGCACATTCTGTGGTCTAGTAGAATAATCATGTGTGTGATCATGTTCATATTCATAGATTTACCATGATTACAGTAGTTGAAGAAAACAGTGTGTTCATTTTCCCCCTCATATCGTATGCAGAAAACGGGCTCAAGATGTAACTGAATGTGTAGAGTTAAGTTGCTTCGTTGAGTGGAGATAGGAAACTGATGAATAATTAACAAGGAATTGCAAAGTTAGCGAACATTTTCCCAACATCTTCTGTTGTCTCTCTCCTTGGTCGAAGAAGCTTTCTTATTTCTGAAAAGAAGAAATCCCAACGGGCACTGCCTTTACTTTTAGACCTTTCTAGAGTAATTAAGTGTTTGAATTCTATCTTTTCATTCATATATGGTATTTACTGTGGTGCTTGGAAGTGTTAAAGAATCTATCTTTTCATCCCATTGTGCCAAGAACTTGGATAATATTTCCATCTGCGCTTTAAGTTTTCTTGCCTTTAGAGTTTTCTGTGGTGATATCTGCTTACTGTAGGGAGTGTGGAAGTATCATTGTCTTTTGATCTTAATTTGGTTCTACCATCATCCTGTTCTTTTCTTTCTTCTCTGTGATGTAATTTCAGCTGTAAACACTGCTCCGAATTAAGCTTCTAGTATCTCGTCTTTCCCTTATCGGTTAAGTTGTGTGAATGAGTTCTCCATTTTGCTGTTCTGAACATCCTGTGATCTCATGCTTCCAATTGTTGATTTAGTAGTGTTGTCTGTTGTACAGTCAGAATGCATCCGATACCGATACTGCTAGCAACATGTATTTTCTTTCCTTTAATATTTCCTTTGAATTTCAGCTGTAGTATTGAGTCTTTTCCTTAACGGTTATGTTCTGTTGTATTGGTTCTTCAGTTTGCTGTTCTGGTCATTCTGTTATCTCATTCTTCCAATTGTTGAAATTTCTGACTTAGCTTAAAAGTATTCTAGTCGCTATATTGAGAAGCTTTCTCAGTAGATCTGAATCAGAAGTTGACTGGATTTAATCTTGTGCAGCTTTGAGTTGGGGAGCCATGTTCGAGGAAGACCCAAGGAGCATAATCTCGCATGAGCTCTCGATCTTCGATGAACTCTCTGATTCCAGCAGCACCACCCGCCGCTGCCTTCTCAACCCACCGAACAGCAAGCGTGCTCGATACTCCACTATCACCAATAATATCTCCACGTCATCCAAGTTCAAAGGTGTGGTACCACAGCAAAATGGCCATTGGGGTTGCCAAATCTACGCCCACCACAAAAGAATCTGGTTAGGCACATTCAAAACCGAGAGCGAAGCAGCCACAGCATATGACAGTGCTGCCCTCAAGCTCCGTGTCGGCAGTGGTGGAGATAGCAGTACTGTGCGGCGGAACTTCCCCCTCAATTCCTTCACTGCCCAAGAACCCGAGTTCCAGACCCACCACACCTTGGAAGCCATCCTCAGCATGATCAAAGATGGGACCTACCAGTCCAAGTTCGCTGAGTTCATCATCTCTCGGGTGGGGACCACCACCGAGCTGACCCTCGACCTCCCCCCTAGGCCGAGAGCAATGTCATGCGGTGATGTCATCTGCAAGCAGTTGTTCCAGAAGGAGCTGACCCCAAGCGATGTGAGCAAGCTAAACAGGCTGGTGATACCAAAGAAGTACGCGGTGAAGTACTTCCCCAGGGTGCCTGATGAGGTTGCAGCGAGTGGCAACGACAAGGTGGGGGAGGAGGACAGCAATCTGGTGCTGAGCTTCTACGACAGGTCGATGAGGACGCCGTGGAAGTTTCGCTATTGTTACTGGAAGAGCAGCCAGAGCTTTGTGTTCACAAGAGGGTGGAATCGGTTCGTGAAGGACAACGGTCTGAAGGCCAACGACACCATCACCTTCTGCTTGTGTGAGAGGCATGGTGGTGGAGAGGCGGGAACCAACGAGACGTTTTTCATGATCGATGTGAGCAACTGTAAGGAGAACGAGAATCCTCCGCCGGGTTCAATGGTCGAGCTGCAGTTAGGCAGTGGGGGGAGATCGTGTAGTAGTGTTCTGTGCGAGGAAACCGACGGGATCAAGAAGCAGGCGAGGGCTGCTGATCATGATGAGAAGAAGGGGATAAAGCTCTTTGGAGTGACAATAGCTTGACATTTTAACACCTTTAATTCTTATAGACTCAAAACTTTCCATTTTACATATGGAGTAAGGTTAATCTGTGGGTTTTGAACTGACGTTTTTGCTTTTAGTAATTGAGAGGGTTTTAGGCCTGGGTTTTGCTGTGGCCAAAATCGAATGTGTAGCAGTAGTAAGACTAAGAAGTAAAAAAAGCTTCTATCTTGCAATGCTGCAATGTTATATGGTTTCATCAGTTGGTTCTCTATGTGGATTCTATACCAATCTGAACTAGATCGATGCGTCGATTTTGACCTCGATTGCTGTATCGAGAGTTCTAAACCTATATGAAAGGTCTGTTCGAAGAATATTGAATACCGTTCATGATGTTTGTGATATCATATGGTATCAGCATGGTGTTTGCTTTTGTTATTCTTGCTGTTGATAATTAGGGCGACAGTGTTGTTCATCCTTCATCGACAATGGAGAATTGGAGATAGCTCCAGCTGGACTGCAACTAGTTCAGCGAAGACAGATATAGTGAGGCTCGACCTGGCCCAAAATGATTATATGGATCAATGTCTCGAATAAATTGCTATTCGGGCCCACTTTGTGAACTATCCAGAAGAGGGGCGCTCTTTCGGCAAAAAAGGCGTTATCCGGGCCCATTGGTGATATCGTCTGTTCCATCTTTAATTGCTTCATTTGTGAGGTAGACTCCGTAAAATTTCAATGCATTTTCTACGGGGTCCGTTTTGTAACTACAAAGCGTGGTAGTTGTGAATATTGTCTCAAGCAATCGTCCATGAGTAGGAATGGCAATGGGTAGGTTCGGGGCGGGTTTCTTGGTACCCAGACCCGTCCCGTGGCAGGTTGGGTGCAGGTCGGGTAATTTATCACGGGTCGCGGGTCGGGGCAGGTCGACCCAATGGGTATGTAATTTATATGAAAAACATTAGAAATATGCGTTCTTTGTATTATAAGACCAAGGAAACAAACAATATTATGATAAATGTAGTTAAATTATTGGATAAATTGAGGTTTTGACTAATTTGCAACTATATTATAACTAAAATATGATGTAATAAAAGGAAAATCCTAAGTAGTTTGACTAAACTTACATGTAATTTAGACAAGTACGGGTCGAGAATGGGGCGGGTCAGGACAGGTCGGGTCGATGAGAGTACCCATGCCCGCCCCGCCCCACCTACGGGGCGGGTCGGACCCGCCCCAAAACAGGCCAAACAGGTCGGGTAAAACGGGTCAGGTTTAAATTGCCATCCCTATCCATGAGTATCGTAGCACTTGGTTCCCATGGAAGGATGGGCAACAAGGAGCTAGCTAGCAACAATATCAGTTCTTCTTGTTGTTGTTGCAAGGTGAACAATAATTGTTGTCGATACCACGGGCCAAGCCACAACTTGCAAGGGACATAAATGGCCAAAACAGAGAAAGGTGGCAGACCAGAAAGCTCCCAAGTCGCAAGATTCGCGTCTGGCTGTTCTCAGGACCACAGAACCAGGTTTCCATCGATGGCCGGCCAGCCCTTCACCGCCTGCTCTGTTTCCCCATGTGGCTTCCCCTGCTCTCTCTCAACTACCATCACTCAGTCTGCAAAACTCAACCAAAGAAGAAGACAATTTTCTCGCTTGATCTCACACCATTAATCTACTCCCCTCTCTCGTAGTAGATTCCTTGGCTCTAAACAGTTAAGTCACCCTAGAAAAAATAGGATTCTAGGTTGCAGAATTTACAGATCTTGTTACTGCCTGCTAAACAGTAAACACAACAGATAGATGTCGACTGAATCGGGGTCAATCTCGTCGTAACAAGAACAATGAATCTTATATCATTCTCTTTACACAAATCATGGAGGCTCTCCATGATCATGACTGAGTTATTATGATAAGTAGAATTGCCTATGTGGTTTCCACTTACCAAGGGGGAAAGCATCTATAGGTAAAAAGTCCCATTCTTTAGAGAAATGAAAATGGAGATGTCACCCTCTGTACCAGAAAGTCCATACAGACGTATATACCCACCCCAACTTTCCTTGATTCCTTCAACCAAGTCATTCATGGCGATCGAAACCCATCATCATCCAAACAAACATACACAAAAAGCACACACCTTTCATAGTAAAGCTTTAACAAAACCAAACTTTAATGATCAACAATGGCGGAAAAGGTCAATTCCACTTCCACATAACAAATTCTGATTCCCCAATCACAACTTCACAACCTACAATGGATGGTTAAGCGACGGTGGAGTGGTCGACGGCGGCGGCAGCGGCAGAGGTCCAGAGGATGTCCTTGAGCGCCGGTCTGAGCTCCTTGGAGCAGAACTGGTTGTACTCCAGAGTATCTCCATTATCCTTCTTCACTTCCACGACGAAGAACGACTGTGTCACGGCGAAGATCTCCGCCTGAATCCCGAGCTTCCCTTTCCTCCCGCTCGCCTGACCTTGCAGCTTCACCTTCGTCTCGCTCTTCTTGACGCTGAATTTCCCCGCTTTCCCGACCTCTTCCAGCCTCGAGATCACGCTGCTGGCGGGGCGAGTCGTGGCGAATCTCAGCTCTTCCTTTTCCATCTTCTTCTTCTCCTCGAACAGCGGCGAGAGGTCGAAACCTTCAGACAGCGAGATGATGTGGAACGCGTTCAGCGTCTCCTTCGATTTCTCCGATTTCGATTCGTCTTCTTCGCAATTAAACGCGTCGAATTCGATCTCCTCCTTGCTGCGTACGGTTTTGGGGATGGATTTTCTGAACCACGACGACTCCATGACCTTCGAGATGGTGATTCGGCTCGCCGGATTGGGGTCGAGGAGCTTGGTGACGAGGCGGCGGGACTCCGAAGAGAACCACGGCGGACATTTGAAGTCTCCTCTGTAGATTTTTCTATACATGGCGACCAGATTGTCGTCCTGAAAAGGGAGGAATCCGGCGAGGAGGACGTAGAGGATGACGCCGCAGGACCAGAGATCGGCTCTGGCGCCGTCGTAACCCTTCTTCCCAATTACCTCCGGCGCGACGTACGCCGGAGTTCCGCAGGTGGTGTGGAGGAGGCCGTCCTGCTTCAGATGCTCGGAGAAGGCGCTGAGCCCGAAATCGGTGACCTTAAGGTTCCCCTCCTCGTCGAGGAGGAGGTTCTCTGGTTTCAGATCTCGGTGGTAGACGCCGCGGCTGTGGCAGAAATCGATGGCGGAGATCAATTGCTGGAAGTAGACCCTAGCGGCGTCTTCTCTCAGCCGGCCCCTGGCGACCTTGGAGAAGAGCTCGCCGCCGCGGACGAGCTCCATGGCGATGTAGATCTTCGACTTGCTCGCCATCACCTCGTGGAGCTCGACGATGTTCGGGTGCTTCACCATCTTCATCACCGAGATCTCGCGCTGGATCTGGTCCATCATCCCGACCTTGATCACCTTCTCTTTGCCGATGACCTTCATCGCCACGCTCTTGCCGGAGTGGAGGTTGCGCGAGTGGTACACCTTCGCGAAGGTGCCGTGGCCGAGCATCCGGCCGAGCTCGTATTTCCCGTGGAGCAGAGTCGGCTGGCCGTCTCTGTTTCTATCCGCCATTGCTGAGATCTGTGAATTGACTGACTGACTGACTAGCTCCTCCCGAAGAATTTACAGAATCGAGAAATTGAAAGAACGAAGAGATTGAGAAGGTAGGGGGGAAGGAAGGACTGGAGCGGAATCGGCCGGAGGCCGGGGATCACCCGTCCTCGACGTGTTTCCGGTGGCAATTCCTGCCGCCGATGCACCTCTGGGCGCGGATGCACAGCTCAGGATTTTGCAACGAAGCTCCTACCATCTCTCTGCATTCCCCACGAGAGGAATGTCTCTGAGAAAATTAGGGTTTTTTCTTGGGGATTGTTTTTTTCCAGGCGGCGGCGGCGGCGGCGGTGAGTGAGAGATTTATCAGATTTCCGTTTCCTCTTTTTTATTTTCCTGGTTCTTCTCGGCGGCCGGATCTTTTTATAGAGAACTGAGGGGAGTGGTTTGTGGTGGAATTTACTATAGTGACCTTGTAGACCTTGACAAATCGTAGGGTTCTGATCTGACGGCGTGGGAAACTTAACGTGATCTGGACGGTTGGGTTTGGTTTTTGTTTTATTCTTTGACACCCGGGACACGTGTGAGGCAATTACTGGCCTTGGTGGGTGTGAATCCGCCCGCTGATTGCCGTTGGATGTTTACCATGCTACCCCTTTCATCTTTCATTAATTGCACAAATACCCGTGCCTTCTAAACCTAGCCCGGGAAATCGAACCGGTGATGAATAGTTTCATATCTTAATTGTTGAATCGTGAAACAGTGAACTTATAATAAAATCAACTTAAAAATGGAACCAAAACAACCTTTTTAGCGTGTGGTTCGATCACCGTAGGTTACTGATACTACTCGTCGTACTCATTAATTTATAGATATGATGGATGTTTCGTGTATAGTAGATGTCTTACATGTATGATGCTTCATCTTTGACTGCACGAATACAAAATTGTACAAACACTCTATTTGAACGACACGAGATTTTTCGTATTTCGAAGCTTGGTTTGGGTGGTTCGATTCCTTTCACTCGCAATCTCATTGTTGCTAGCTAACTTGACAATAATTAAAAGAACATATGTACTCCTTAACTTAGGGATGACAATGGGTCGGGTAGGGGACGGATAGTGCATATTCGTTACCCTACCCAAAGTAGTTCGGGTTTTATCCATACTCATACCCACATAAGAAACGGGTAGATAATCAAAACCATGCCCATACCCGTTCGGGTTTCAGGTATCCACGGTTATCCATGGGTAATAGTTTCTCTTTATAACTTCAACCAATATGTTAATATTCACATGTATTCTCACATTACTTAAGATAAAAAAGTATGACAATAATTCACTAGAATGAAGAAAATTCATTAAAACAACACAATTTCATGAAAAAGATTATATTTATATGCTAAATATAAAATATATTAGAGAAAAATAATGATTATTTCTAGACAAAATCCATATGCATGTGTATATCGGGCGGGTTCGGGTTGGATAGTGAGAAAACCATGCCCACCCATTATTCGAAATATTCGGGTTCGGGTTTTACCCGTATCCGCTAAAAGTCCTTCGGGTTCGGGTTTTACCCTACCCGACAAGGTCAGATTTGGGCGGATATCCACGGTTACGGATATTTTTGCCATCCCTACCTTAACTGGTCATTACTTCCATGAATCTCGTCGCCTTATGCATCTCCAGAGTCTGATTCTGAGTTTGTTTTTTGAATGTAA